TCAGTACTTCGTTGGGCCACGAGATGACTTAGTTGGGCCGCCTCGTGACTCCACGAGATGTTGAAAGGTGATGCGAGGAATCTGACACTGCACTGTTGCCCTTCTGTTGTCTTGTACCAGTCTTGCCACTCTCCGTTCTGCCCTAACATTGACTAGCCGCTGACGGCCACAACTCGCACGTTCAGACCCAGATTTTTGGCTGACAGTCCAGTCTTTAAACACTTTAACAACAGCTGCTCTTGAACATTTAACAAATTCTGCTGTTTTTCTGATACTCGCTCCATGGCTCGCGCCAACAATCATCCCACGTTCAAAGGCTGTTAAATCGCGTTGTTTACCCATATCTTCATAAAAAAATCACTTCTACTGTCGTGGTAAACAACCTGCTTCCCTATTTATAATGGTCTGGCCCTCTAGCAACTTCAGCGTGAAATTATAGCTAATTTGCCTACAAACATCAGGTGGTCATAATAATCTGGCCACTCAGTGTATAAGACCTGTCATAGTTGACCTCTCCATTTGAAAATGCTAGTGCCCTGCGATGATCCAGTGGCTTCCCAAAACAAGCATGCAGATCAGAAGGTCTGACTTCACACTAACATCATTTGTTACTTACTAGTTTTCCAGTCTGTTACTTATAAAATGTGGAATACTGATATAGCTAGACAACTGGGTTTTTTTGTTGTAGAAAAAAAAGCAGTGCCATCTTTTTCTCTTAGTACTGGTTTCTTTGGAGGCAAGAAGAGAGCACTTGGAGATGCAGCAGCTTCCTAATTAGACAAGGTTAACTTTTGGTTCTGTAGATGCCTGCATTTATAATAGCAAAGCAAAAAAAGGCCAGAACACCTTAAGTCGGATTTAATCTATAAAGAGAACTATACTTTGTAAACTAAATGTTTGGTATAAAATGCTCACTGTACCCTGTCTCTGCTGTGGGTTTTGGAGGGTTGGATCCTGGGACAAATTTAAGTCTTAGCTCGCTTCCAATCCATGTGCTGTCCTCCTTGGCACAACCCAGCTTTTATAATAGCAAAGCAAAAAAAAGGCCAGAACACCTTAAGTCGGATTTAATCTATAAAGAGAACTATACTTTGTAAACGAAATGTTTGCTCTAAAATGCTCACTGTACCCTGTCTCTGCTTCCAATCCATGTGCTGTCCTCCTTGGCACAACCCAGCAATCTGGCAACTTAGACAAGTGCAGAGGTGTAGAATGAAAACACAGATACTCTGCTTTCGGACATCTACTGTTCTTTCAGCCCTCAGTAGAAGTACTTGGCTCTAGGACAGGAAAGTGCAGTGCACCATCCAAAGCTGGCAAGATGTGCTGAAGATAGCATTTCTCAGAACTGGGGTGTGCAAGAATAACTCACTAATTTCATTGGCTCCCAGTACTTCATAGTCCACTTCACAGCTAGAGTACGTAAAAATGATAAAATGCATTTTGTAGACCAAATTTTATTTAAAGTATAAAGTTGTTCTTAATGTAAATCTGTTGGGTGGAAATATTGGAGATTCTACTGATGACTTGTTTAAAAGGTGCAAATTCCAAAGTTTTAATTTTACATCTTTTTTTATTACTTATTGAGACAATCTTTGGGTGTGTGGCAACCCTAGACCAAGGTCCGGATTTTTTTGTTGTAGAGAAGCTGGAGTGCAACTTTGGAGCTGTCTGATGGGTTCTTGTTCAAAACTAATAAATGTCCTGGGTTGCTTAACTCTTAGTACCAGACAGTTTACTCGTTCCTCAGACTTAAAACTCCCTAAGCCATGGCTAGCCTGAACAATCAAGCCCAGTGCCAAGAGTCTGCTTTAATTAGACCATCACCTGGAGATCCTGCCATTAAAGATCTTGTTCAGACACTTCCTACTATAGTTCAAAAAAGTTCCGCAGTGCACTTTCAGCAGCCAAGTGAATAACCGAGCCCAAGTGAGCCGAACACCGTTCGACTATTCACTTTGGCCCTGTACGGCTGATTGCAGCCCTATACGGCGGAAGAGAAGAACACATTCGACTCAGCCGATCCAACATCTGGATTGGCTAAGCCAAACCTCCAGCAGTTCACTCGCTGCCGTTTGCCCATATTCTCATAGGGGCCGAACAGCAGTGGAAGAGAAGAACACATTCGACTCAGCCGATCCAACATCTGGGCCGAACAGCAGTGAGTGAATAGCCAGATGCCTCTGAACGGCATTCGGCTTGGTGGCTAAGCCAAACCTCCAGCAGTTCACTCGCTGCCGTTTGCCCATATTCTCATAGGGGCCGAACAGCAGTGAGTGACTAGCCAAATGCCTCTGAACGGCATTCGGCTTAATTACCTTGGAGGTATGGAGCAGACTTTTTTAAACAAAAACGGCATGGGGTCCCCCTTCCACTCTATACCAGACCCTTTAGGTCTGGTAAAAAAGTTAGGAGGGACCCCAAGTTAAAAAAAAATGCATGGGGGTCCCCTCAAAAGTCTGACCAGGCCCTTCGTGTCTGGTTAGGAATTTTAAGGAGGAAAACCACCCCCAGAATGGGGGGAACACATGTGGGGCCCCGCCTAAAATACCCAATCAGACCCTTAATCCCAGCACAGGCCTGGCAGGGCAGGTAAGAGGGATGAGCGAGCGCCCCCCCCTCCCCCGTGCTGAGGGCATGTGGCCTGGTATGGAAGGGGGTGCTTTTCCAGGGTCCCCAAGGTCGGCTGCTGTACGGGCTATTGTGGAGGACTTCGGCAGCTTGATTGAGCCGAAGGATTAGCCGGTGCTTCAGCTTAATCCTTCAGCCATTCAGTGAATAACCCCCTTAATTTGCAATTTACACATTCACTTTGATAAGTGAGCACTCTCAACTCCACTGGAGATGCAGACTAGGCAACATTCTTCCCAACTTTCTGAGATGAGGGGTACATTATATTACAAAGTATGTAGGCAAAGGACACTACTGTCACACCGCCTTTACATGGACCACAAAGAATCAATATGCAAACAATGATTAGTTACATCAACATGTTCTTTTTTCATACTGGCTTTTCAAAATAACAAATGCAACAATTCAGAGATTGAATAAAAGGTCTTCGCAATAAACTATTTCTAATAAATAAACAATAGACAGAGAACCTTACATGGTCCCCCACAAATATTTGTCAGTCAGTCAAAATAAAAAGGGACAGCTGAAGAAGAGAGAGGTATAAAGGGATTTGATTGTTTTGATTTCAAATGAGAGACAGTTGGGAGCTCTGCAGGAAGTAAAGGGAGAACGACAGAGCAGCCCCCCCACCCAGCGTATATAGGGGCCAATCCTCCTCCCCCTAACTGATAAACCAACCGTACAAATAAAATAGATGAATATGTACTAAAAGCCCTTTCCAACAAATCTAAAAAAAAATTTTTATTTACAGGAAAGCAAAACAACTTACATAATAAATTTGTTTGGTCGCCAAAAGGTTAAATAAAATTGTGTAAAATAGTTATCAGGATACAATATGTTTTGCAATGGTGGTCCTTTAATGTAATGTTGGAAAATGTAGCAAATTTCACAAGGTGAAAAAAGTCACATATTCTACACAAGAGCAATTTTTATTTCAGCAATATTTTGCTATACGGTTTATAAATGATCTATTCAATGTCAGCTGCAGTCATTGTGCCTATAAAACGTGTAAGGTGTTTTATGGTGGGGAAAACAATGGCTATAACTTATATGGCCACTAGATGTCTCCAGCAAACCAAGTTGCAGCTCATAGGCCAACTTTTTGGCCACTCTATCTATTAGTTTTGTTTACAACTAAACTAAAAATGAAATACCAATTGAACATTTCTAAAGAGAATTCTGAATAAGATCTGCAGAAAGGGGGAATGCAATCAATAATACTGAATTATTTTATCTTCAGGTCTATGTATTATTTATAATTTGCTGAATTATAGGCTGCTGTGAATTATAGTACTCTTTCATTGATTTGCTGTGCACTAGGGTTTATAAACATGCCAGATGGCATTATCACGTTCTATGCTTGATATGGACATACAGTGTGGGTCTTTTTTATCAATACATAGATAGACACATACTACAGACGAGGGATAAACGAATGTGCCTGGGTTCAATTTGCAGGATGTTTGTTGAATCCTACATAAAGTCTTAAAGTTCCGAACTTTAAATCAAGTTCATTGAAGTTTATGGGGGCGAAACTTAAAATCAATTCTGCCCATTTTCAAGGCTAATAGACATGGATCGGTCAAAATAAGGGAATGAGGAGCTAGGCACTGCCAAAGGGGACATGTATTAGACCAAAAAAAAGAAGATATCTTTAAGCTGTTTGCGCTGTTACAAAACAGTACGATTTTCATATACAGCACCAGCAACACCATTTTCTGAATACATGTCGTTTCACTGCCCCGAAATCTCCAATCCTGATTCAAAATCGCTGCAGGAACTCCCGATGCAGATATTTTTTTAAACAATCAAATTTTATTGGGTTTTTTCCAGTACATGCAATACAAACAGTAAAAAAATAAAAAAAGCAATGGGCAACACGGTACATATATTAATATATCCGATCAGGTACAATGCACTGATATTGAAAGGTCACACATTCCATCAGGGACAGTCAAATTCCTAAAGGAACAATATAATACATGACCCCTGAATAAATTCCAGAGGCCGTAGTCGACAGTGGCACCTATGGATCAAACCTCGGGCCAGTAGTGTAATAGTCGGAAAGGGAAACACAAAGAAAAAAGAACTGTGTTGTATCCCCTGATAGTTGGCAGTACTCACACAAACATAAATTGATAGAAAACACACAAGAACTACACTAACCACAAGACACAACACTAAATGAGAAAAAGAAAAAAAGATCACAATAGCAACTAGAGAAGAGTGAAAAGAAGAAAAGAAAAAAAAAAAGGAACAAGAAACTCCTAAGATCCCACAGCATCTATAATCCAGATTGCATGAGCAATAATCACATTAGAGTCAATTCATCAGACCATATTTTCATAACCCAATATCTGGTGACTTACAATGCAAGGTATGCCGCAGAGTCCATATATAAGATCCAAGGGGCCCATAGTGTTGCACATTGGGGTTGACGCTCGGACAAGGAAGCAGTCAGCTCTTCATAACGCTTAATCAGGCACAGTTCAGCAATCCACTCCCCCACAGTCGGGGGGACTGCAGTATTCCAGTGGCGAGGGATAGTCATCCGGGCAGCGGCCACAAAGAAGCGAAGCAGGTCTTTCTTGACCGAGGCCAGGGAGCCAGGCAATACCGATAGGAGGGCTACCTTAGGAGATGGAGCCAAAGAAGTTCCCATGACTTGGTTATATATGTCAAAGACACGACACCAAAAAGGCAATAACACCGGACAGCTCCACCAAATATGAAGGTGTGTGCCCTCTGCTTTCAAGCAGCGCCAGCAATGTGCTGGCCTATCAGGGAAGATCCTGTGAAGAAGGGCCGGGCAGCGGTACCATCGCGTTAGAATTTTATATCCCTTTTCCTGAGCCAAACATGCCATGGAAAGCTTGTGAGTTAATATGAACGATGTGCGGACTTCCTCATCAGTAAGGGCATAGCCCAAATCCCTCTCCCACCTAGCTATAAACAAGGGGCGATCCTGAGATTTTGCCGCAATCAACTGACTGTATAGCAAGGAAATGGTATGATTTACACAATGGCTAGAAACGTCTGTGGATACTCCATAGACTATCTGCTGATGCTCTGTGCCTGATGTTGCCTCCCTCTATGTTCCTGGTGCTTTCTTCCTCATCTTCAACATCTGATATAAGGAATTCTTGCCTATCCTCCAGCAGCAAGTGACTCATTGTGTGCTGAAAAATGTCATCTTACCCCTTCGTGTCAGTTTGCATGGTTGTAGCGGAATTAGCATAAAAGGAGGAGGAAAAAGAGGGTGCATTTGTAGCAGTTGCAGACAACTGGCTGCTCTGTGCCTGGAAGGAGGAAGAAGAGGAAGGCTTTGTCAGCAACTCAACTACCTCCTCTGATTGCTCTAGCTGTCTTCTAGCACAGCCAGTCTGAGAAAGAAAAGGCAGACCTGCCTTGCCTCTTGACAATGTGGTCAACCACTGTTTTGTCCTGCAGGACCTGCCCAACCCCTACTACCTTTGCATGCAGAACCTCTGCCTCACTCTTTAAGACTGCTTGACAGTTTGGATACAGGGGATTGCGCAATGTTTATTTCAGCTGTGGCAATAGGCAGAATAAGGGTGTGGTGCTTTGGTGCAGTAACTGGGTACATGCTTTAGAAGATAGTCATAGACTGGAGTCACGTTCCTTGAGGCTGCTAGAGATCACTGCTATTACAGCACCTTTACACATCAACATTCCTACATTTGTGCTCCCAACTGCACTCTTAAAAATGACTTGGACTACATATGATATATGTCTCAGCAGGCTGTATTATAAAAAAACAAAACATAAAAAGACAAATATAATGGACAGCAGTGTCCAAAGGGGCAACAGTCTGGGTACCAGGGATCTAGAACAATTGCATTGGATTGTTGAGCTAATAAAACAAGCATGGCAAAACTGTGAGGTACCACTTGGTTGAAGTGATTCTCAGCGGAATTGGTAAATGTACACAGCAATGAGAAGAGGGACCTTGTCCCCAAGGTTGTTGGGAGCATAGGAGACCTCAAATGGACTTTCAAGCTTTTTAAAGGTTTAATCCAGCAATATGAATGCAACTCTTTTAAGAGAGGAACTAAACTGCTGAACTCCACAGAATTCAAAGGCAGAGTCTCAAGCATTGCCTGTGGCCCCCTGCAGCTGATCTTTCCCCATTACAGACTTGCCATGTCTTGTTCTTCACTGTGTCTCTGTGTGGAGGCAGCCATCTTAGAAGAGGCAGGATCAGGGCTGCCATCAGGGGGGAACAGTCGATACTCATTTAAGGGGCCTGGGCACCCTAGGGGGCCCGTCCGGGACCCTTACATGAGTATCGGCCGACGGTGACAGACGAGGAGGTGGTCGGGCCCTAGCAGTTCTGGGCCCCAGCATTGCCAAATCCAGCGGCATTGGAGCAGGCTGGGGCCCCATCGGCGCCTCTGCTCTACTGATCTTGGACCGGCCGGAAGTGACATCACGTCACTTCCGGCCAGTCCGGCAGCAGAGGAGGCCAGGGGAGCAGGTAAGAGGAGCTGGGAGGGAGGCAGGGAGAGAGGGAGATGCAGCCCTAACCAGCCCACCTGAGACTCCTGCAGAGCCCGCCATAGAGAGTATCAGATGGGCTGTGCAGCATCTATAGGGGGCTCTGCAGGGTCACTCTCAGGTATGTGTGGGGTATCAGGTGGGTCCTGCGTCCACCGCATCACTAAGCCCTGCATCCAGCGCGTCACTAAGCCCTGAGTCCAGCGGGTCACTAAGCCCTGCGTCCAGCGTGTTACTTAGGCCTGCGTCCAGCGGGTCAGTAAGCCCAGATTCCTTTGGGTCACTAATCCTAGAGTCCATCGGGTCACTAATCCCTGAGTCCATTGGGTCACTAATCCATGAGTCCAGCGTATCACTAATCCCAGAGTCCATCAGGTCACTAATCTCAGAGTCCATCGGGTCACTAAGCCCTGAGTCCAGCGGTTCACTAATCCCAGAGTCAAATTCATGTACTGTTCTGCATTACTGTATAAATGTATTGCTGGAATTTGTAGTCCCCCTACAGCTGGCGCCATTGTGCATTAGAGTGTACGCTCCTCTGTACAGAGATTGATGTGACTGGGGCTGCAACAACTAATCGACCAAGTCGATTAAAATTGATGATGGAAAATGTTGTCAACGTTTTCCATCATCGATTAGTCGGTTTTCGATTAGTTGCCCCTTCTCGCAGCTCCACGCACGCCTCACGCTGCACCACCTCCCCGCCTCACCCAGCTCTGAGCTCCCTTCCTCCACCACCTGCTAAGACGCTGCCCGCCAAGATGATAACGTCATTGCAGGAAGACTGCAGCGTGGGGGAACGGCAGCTGCCGACAGTCCCAAGATCTCGAGGTAAGAAAGTAGAGTTGCTTGAAGAATGTATTGCTGGGATAGTGATTGGTTGTATTCCTCTATAGCTGATGGTGTAATATGCTGTATATGTACCATCAACTAAAGAGGACTACAAATCCCAGCAATAATACATTATAGCTGGTGGTTATCTGCGTGCATTGGGGGTGGGGCGGGGGCTGTGGGGTGGTGCCCGGCCTAAGGCCGTGTAAGGGCCCCAAGATTTCTGATGGCTGGGCAGGATTCTGATTCCTCATGTCAGATCGCACTCACTGTATACATATAACTACAGTAAGCAAAGGTATGGGAGTGCCTAGGAACCCCCATATAACAGAAAGTGCACTGTTATTTTTCAGAAGGAATTCAGGGTACTATTAACATTATTAAATCTTCAATAAAACATAGCAAATCTTTACTCTTTGAGTTCAGATGGACTTTGCATTTGGTATTATTTGCTTAAAGTAATATTAAACTCTCAAACTTTTTTTGCACTTATGAATCCAAATCAAACAAATATACATTGCCCAGCAAAATATTTCTTTAAATATTTCCCTAAGCACTTGCAGTCATCATGCTTCAAAAAAGCTGGCTCCAATTCTTATCTCTGCTTCCCTGAACTTCCTGTCCAGTACAAGATCACAAGGGATAGAGCAGTCTCCATTAACTGTTCATCTATTAGCCTGGAGAAGGGAGGAAGGAGGAGTGGGCACCAGGGAGAAGGCGAGTGCCTTGTCTTGTCTGTGTGTTTGTGGAGACAGCTTACTAGCACACACAAGGGTGGCTCCATAGGACCCAGCATAGGAAAGGAGCCATCCTAAAAGTGTTTAGGGGACCAGCTGATTCTACAGGAAATAAATACAACTTTTAAACATCTAGAAGCAGCATCTATTGTAAGCTTGAATCGCGGCAAAATCCGCTCCAAAAAGGGTCCTGCTGTAGCGACGCACGACCCGCGACAGCAGGACCCTTTGCCCCATTGCCAAGCATTGGAGAGCGATATCGCGCGGTAAATAGCCGCGATATCGCGGGAATTACCGCACGATAAATCGCTCAGTGTGAACGGGGCCTTAGTCAGACACAGATAAAATATGTTATTTCTACAGAATGCTATGCTTTGGCTGATTTTATTCTATTGCTGTTTTCTTCACACCAAGTTCCACACATACCAGACATGCAGCATGGGGGACCGCAGGAAATACGTGTTACACAAAACAGATTACATTGGGATGGGGGTGAGTATGGAATTCAGAAAGATCATCCTGTACAAGGTAAAACGTTTATAGAGCCCAATATCCATTTTATAAGTGTCATTGTATCTAGATTTTAGATTTGTACATTTGGTTCCCCCCTAAATTAAAGCCTACATCTGGGCAATTATGAAATAGCTCCCCCACCCTTACCAAATGGTAAAGGATCTAAAGCTGGCCGTACACTGACACAGTGCATCCCAACCATTGTTTTACTTGCGTACCCCTTGGCAGCTGTTTTGTATAAACTGTACCCCTCAGTGGTGGTGGGACAGGGGACGGGGCTAATAGTAAGGCATGTGGTGGGCTGCGCTGAATGGTAGGTATGGCCAAATTGCATTAACAGTAGAACAGCTCAAATGCCACTGTGTTGATGTCAGTGGGATGAAACAGGGAGCTGGGAGGCTGGAGGGGGGGATGCCATATGCCTTGGGGTATGCCATAGTACATTAGTACAGATTACTTTGCAGACCGTTTACACACATTTAGTCCCCAACTCCCCATTGGCACAGCCTTTTTCCACCATTACAAAAATATTTTCAGGTACTCCTAAACGTGCTTCCAAGTACCTCTGGGGTTGGGAACTGCTGCACCAACAGATTCCTTCATCCACGCTATGCAATTTAGACCTATTGTGGCCACATAAATTTTTCCAATACACAGAATCTACTGTGACACCATGAAAACATTAAAGAGATATCCCAAATACTTACCTTCTGCTTGAGTATGATTAATCCTCATCTCTGGCAGAAAGTCACATGACCACTTACAAGGTTATGGCATCATGGTCAAACGGAGGGGAGTTAATATTCAAAGTGTGTCTTAACCCAATAACAAAAATCTCCTCTATTGAAGCTTACCAGTTGTGGCTGAATTAGTTGTGAAGCTTAAAAAAAAACTGCGATTTATAGCGCGATTTTTGCAGCGATATCGCTCATATTTCCACACGATATCGCTCTATGTAGCTTCTCCAATCCATTTCAATGGAGCTGTTCACATCTCGCCGCTCAATATCGCTTGTAGCTCGTTGCTGTAGCCTGTCGCTCCTACATGACCCTTTTTTCTGCGGATTTCGAGCGATTTTGCTCCTGATTGCATACAGCCCAATAGGAAAAAGTCACGTGACGTCGCGCGATAAGTCGAGCAATATCGCACATATGAAATCGCGCAGATTTTCATGTCGCTCAGTGTGAATGGGGCCTTAGGAATGGAGTATTTTATAACCTTCGAAGTGTGTTGAAGGGTCAACGTGTTCTGTGCACGTTCATACTTTTCAGTTATACATTAGTAGATTGAACCTTATCTCCTGATGTCAGAGGAGCCTTTATACGTCCATGGATTACAGGGCTGCTTCAGTGTCCAGCATGAAGCTCCAAAGATAACGGGGTCACACCATATGACTTCTGACACTGGCTTTTTAGGAGTAGCACCCTAGTGGAAAGGGTGCTATTAAATGTAGTGATTATCGGATTGTATGTGGTCTGATACTAATTTGTAGTCTTGGTTCATGTGATTTTTTTCCCCGAAACAATCTATAGTTGCTTGTCATCTGTCTGCTGTCAGAGGTACTGTAGGGTGTACAGTACCTCCTAAACAGCATGGATAGGGGAATCCCTCCTAAACAGCATGGATAGTGGAATCCCTCCTAAACAGCATGGATAGGGGAATCCCTCATAAACAGCATGGATGGGGGAAGCCTTCCTAAACTGCATGGATGGGGGAATCTTTCCTAAACAGCATGGATGGGGGAAGCCTTCCTAAACTGCATGGATGGGGGAATCTTTCCTAAACAGCATGGATGGGGGAAGCCTTCCTAAACTGCATGGATGGGGGAATCTTTCCTAAACAGCATGGATGGGGGAAGCCTTCCTAAACTGCATGGATGGGGGAATCTTTCCTAAACTGCATTGATGGGGGAATCTTTCCTAAACAGCATGGATAGGGGAAGCCTTCCTCCGTTGCAGCCGCTGCTGGCGATCCTGAGCTCCGCTGTGCCCTTGTCTCCATAAAGAGGACCTGTCACTGAAAATTGGCTATCACAAAGGGGGCTTGTTAGTCCCCTATGTGATAGCAATAAAGTTAAGTGAAAAAAAAAAGGTTTAAAAGAATTAGTTAAAAAAAAATTAAAAGTCACATCTAAAGGTATTCCAAAATGTTTTAAGTCCCCCGCCCCCCACATACACATGCAAACATGCGTGGAGTGCGCCTAAGTGCGGAAACGACGATTGCATCCTCTACGCCACACATGTTACGTATCGCCGCGAATGTCACAGTGAGAGCAATAATTCTAGGGCCATCAATCACTGATAACACTAAACTGATGAGCGGTAAAAGCTTTTAAAGCGTCGCCTATGGCCAATTTTGGGTATGGTAGTTTTTGCGAGTTCACGGCGCACGCAATTTTAAAGCTTGACATGTTTGGTGTCTATTTACCCGACGTGACCCCGTCTTTTATATTTTACCAAAAAATTGGGTAATAATAATTGTTTTATAACATAACGTAGGGAGAACAGTTTTTGTTTTTGAAATTTTCGGTACTTTTTTCATTATATAGTAAAAAATAAAACCCCCAGTGTTGATTAAATACCACCAAAAGAAAGCTCTATCTGTCCCCAAAAAATGGTATAAAATTAATTCTGCACAGCGTTGTATGATGGAATAAATGTCAGTCAAAGTACCGCAGTGCTGAATACTGAAAAATGGCCTGGACAGGAAGGGGGTGGAAACACCCCGGTCAGCAAGTGGTTAATATCACTTTAAACTCTTGCAGTCTGTAAATGAGGAATGTGGTCTGGGGAACAAGAGTCTCAGGGCCCGTTCACACATACTGCTGTGACCTGCATTGTACTGCACTGGATCAATGCAGGTCACCACAAGGACACATAGAAAACAATTGTTTCAGCATACATTCATGTGTATCAAGGCTTTTTAGGTTCATAAAAAGAAGTTTGTTTAAAAGTTAAGTCCACTTAAAAATAAAATAAATGCACTCATCTTCTTTATTATTTATTATTTTTTACATTGGAGCCAGTAAAGCATTGCAACCACAATCAGTGGATCATTGATGCAATGCTCTGACTGCTGCAGATTCTCCCGCCCGTCTCTGTATGTACCTCGGTACAGACATTCAGTAACATAGACAGAAGGAAGAATGAATGGATTACAAGTGTGGTGATGTCACTGCACTTGCATTCCATTGAGAACTATAAGTACCTCTGCCACGGTTGCTGATTGGATTTGCAGGTGCTTCATTCACAGATCCTGTCAAAGGAAGATGGGGTAGTTTGCGATGTGACCATTTTGATGGTATGAAATATGGTCTAAAAGGTAAACTTAAAATGCAAACAAAGGTATTTCAGTACAGTGTGAAAAGCACAGACCTAAATTTAGTATAGTATCACAGTAATTGATTGTGAGGAACATAGCTGTTAAGCTACATAGCTCTATGTAGAAAAGACTAATGGCTTTTTTTTTATCAGACAAGAGCAAGGAGATCAGAATGATTGGAACAGTAGTTAAGATCTCAGTGAGCGGAAGAATAAGGTAAAAGTTATATTTGCAGACTTTCTTACAAAGGAACTTCACCCTTATCTTAAGAACGACAACAAATGCACCTTCAGAAATGTTCAGCAATGGTCAAAATGCTTAGTGATGGCAATTCACAAACAGGCACTTATAGATAATTGCATAGTATTTCAGGCTGAATAAAAACACAGGTCCATCAGGTTCAACCTATTGCGTGTATGTTTTGGATTCTGCATGTGTATGCGTTTGTACGAGTCCCCGTGTGATCTTATTTTTTAAGGGTACCTGTACCCCTGTATGTTACGGTCTCTGAGGAAATTGTCCAAATGCATTTTTAATGATTTAACACTCTCAGCTGATACCACTGCTTGTGGCAGAGAGTTCCAGACCGTAACCGCTGTAACTGAAAAGAACCCCCTACGCCCCTTGTGCTTAAATCTTTTCTCCACCAATTTTAGGTGGTGGCCTCTGGTCTTTGTTATGGAGTTTACAGTAAAAAGTTTATTCGCTAATGTTGCTATCACCATTGAACATCTTGTACATCAACATCATGCCCCCCCTTAATCTCTGCACCTTCAACGTGAACATATTTAAGTTTTGTAACCTTATCTCATAGCTTTGGTCCTCCATCCCCTTAATTTTCAGCTCCAGGACATCCTTTCTGTGTATTGGTGACCAAAACTGGACCGCATACTCCAGATGAGGTCGAACAAGTGATCTATACAGTGGCAAAATTATTGATTTGTCTCTACAGTATTACCTCAAATACTATGTAACTATGTGCATTACTTTACATTTATCAACATTAAACCTCATCTGCCATATAGTTGCCCACAACCCTACTTTATCCAGGTCCTCCTGTAATGTTCTAGTGTCTAAGTCCGTGTCTATTACCCTCCCGATTTTAGTATCATCAGCAAACATGGAAGCATGGCTATTTACACCCTCCCCGATGTCGTTAATAAACAGGTTGAATAATATGGGGCCTAGCACAGAACCCTGAGGCACGCCACTCCTGACACTTGACCAATCTGAAAAGGAGCCGTTTATAGATTTGCCAGCTTTTTATTCTTTGGAAACCATTTTTTTCTTTTCTTCCCCATTCTTCTCACAGCAACCATTTTCATTAAGGGCAGGTGAATCCATATAACTTTTATCCCTGGAACTTTGGGTCTGCCACCTAGAACATGTGACTATTACATCATGTGAGGGGGAAAAAGGCCTTTTCCCTGAAATCGTGAGATTTTCCAGTTTACAGATGAGATTTCCCAGGAAGGCACTGGTGATGTAGCCTCTGAGTCCGGGGCTACATCACCATAGCTCCACTGAACAAGGAAGTGGAAAAACACTTATTCTAAGTAATAGCAAAAAATGTTTAACTGATGAATGTGAGCTGATTTCATATTAGCTGCAGAGCTTAATGTTGATGTGATTTATAGTGAAAGGGGGTAAAGGTCCACTTTAATTTGCCTGGACACATTAAAGCAGATAAGGTGTGTTTAAGGTGCACTGAATCTAGCAATAAGCTGAAAATCCATGCCAGAAGTAACAGAATACAACCACGAATCTCTAACTAATGTGTGGGGCATGATTTTAAGAAGTGCCACCATGAAATTGTTGCAACCTTACCCACCATGCTATGGTTATTAAAGGGAGCAGACACAATCTGGAGCAGATATACTGTACATGGCAGCCAATTAGCCTCTCTCTATCATTTTCAAACTTTAACTGAACAAACTAAAGAGAGGAGCTGTTTGGTTACTGTAGGCCACTGCCCCCAATGCTTGCTCTTGCTATGTATGCATAGTTGCGGTACTGATGCTAGATCTTTCCCTTATCTGTCTCTGGATTGGCTGTCCGTTATTGCTGGACATATTAGCTACACCTGGTTGCTAAGGAGAATTCTGACAGCTGTCAAAGAAGATTGGTCAATTACTTTTTGGTGGGAACTGTCACCTAATGAAGTACACTCCTTACCTTTATTTATTCTTCATCTTTAGTTCCCTTCAGAAGTTCAGACCTTCAATCAAGACTGGAATCCTGTCCCTCGCCACGTGCATCTTTATTGGGGATATGATCGCCCACATAGGGTATGCTCGGATTAAGGGTCTGGTTGGCAATTTTAAGATGCAATTTTTTTACTTTTTAACTTGGGGTCTCTCCTAACTTTCCCACCAGCTCGCCCGCATTCGGCTATTTACTAACTGCTATTCAGGCCCCTGTGAGAATAGGGGTGATTGGCAGCGAGTGAGTTGCCGTGCGTTCGGCTCAGATGATCCAGGTGTTGGAATGACTGAATGGAACGTGTTCTTCACTTCGGCTCAGCCAAACATGCTGAGCATGTTCGGCTGAACTGAAGGGAGCTGAAGCCAGCTGTACTCGACTGAAGTTAATAGACGAAACGCATTTGGCTCCCTTCACTTCAGCTCGGTTGTTCACTCGGCTGCCTTCTGCAGCTTAATGACTAGCCCCCTAAACTCCATACAAATAGTGTACTGGACGAGATTCAAACCCCAGTGCAGCAAAACCGATGTGCTAACCACTTAGGCACAAGTTGAAGCCAAACTTTGGTAAAAAATGATAATTTACACACATCACTGTTCTGGGTGTTTAAACTATCATTAAAAGCTGTGTGTTATGGGGTGTGGGTCGCGGCAAAGTATAAATATCTTACCTTGCAGCGCCTACACATAACTATGAGCTTACTGAGGGGAGTGAGGAATAAGACTCGAGTAGTGACGTGCTCCCAACACACCACCCGCCTCTCCTGACTACTTGGCCATTCACAGAAGAAAAATTCTCAAGCAAAAATAACCTTTTCTCTAAAAGCAGCTGCAATGAATACGCCTTAATGCATGTAAATCTTAATGAAACCGTTAAAAACCATTATGTGCATTTATATGTGTTTAGAAATGACCTCTAAACACATATCAATGCATAGTTGTCAATGCCAGTGTAAATGAAGCCTAACCCTCCTGCTCTGTGACACCCATTGAATAGGATTACACTTTTCCCCTTTTGATTGAGATATAAATAAATACATTTTAAAATGTTTCCAATGTCATATATTGAAGAATATTGATACAAATGGAAACACACAGAAAATAAACGAGATTAATCACACACACGTACCGTATACAGTATATGAATGAACTATTTTAAATGACCTTCTGTATATTGCAGCATTACTTTGGCATGGAGCTGTAAGTGTTATTAACCAAAGAACACTTCACATGTTGATTAAAAACACTTCTATTGTAGGAAGGTCATGTAAGTGACAATGGTAACATAGCATGCAGAATATAAAAAGAAAATGCTTGGAACTCAGACAAATGGAATGATGATTTGTGTCTGTATTCAGAGCCAATTTAAAGGGGAATTACAACTTACACCATGCAAAAGTGTCAGAACTACCAAATGGACAGCTCCTTTGCTGTAATAGTCTCCAGGTATGGGGAACATGCCACCCCCCACCATGTAACTTGCTTGGGAAGTAATTTAGCACCTGAACACTGTCACCTGAAGGCGGGAGGCAGTGATGTTGTCCAGGGTAGAATTCTGCAACAAAGGAATTTGAACTGGGCCAGTATACCCTGCTGGGGGATGGGTTAACAGGAGGCACTATCCTTTACAACAGGGGACTGAGCAAGCACTCAGCTCCAAGAAGGCACAAGCTCTAATGGATGAAGAAGCAGGCGAACGTTCTCCACCAGTAGAGTTTTATCAAACACAGCAATGCAGAATACTGCCAGCTATGCAGGATTACAAGTCCCAGCAATACATTATAAAAATCAGCAATGCAGAATACCAACAGCTCCTCCCATCCCCCCACGCCCCCCATTCCCAGTCCAGACTTGCCTTACCTCTCCTGCAGGATCCTCTTCCACGTCTCGTCGGCTAGGGGGCGGGGCTAAGAGGAGAGGGTCCTCACACAGCAGAATGTGCTGCCTGGCGGTGCCTGCAGCACATTCTGCGCGACTAGTGACAGACTCTCCATCCCCGCCGCACAGCCGCCCGTACATGCTGCGGGTGGCAGAGCAGCAGGGAAGGAGCGGCACGATCTCAGGGGGGCTTTTTTTCCCCTCTGGGCCCCCCCAACAGGCGGAACGCCAGGGCCCTGTCGCAATTGCGACCGCTGCGACCCTGGTAGTTCCGCCAGTGGCAATCTTCCTATATTCTATAACACCTGATAGACTCTTGTTTGCACCTAATTATGTTTCATCTTCTATCCATCATTTGTTATTTAATTACTCATCTCTCTCCTTTCATAAGCCATTCTGAGCATATACAATTCACCCTCACATGATGTCAGTACTGATTTATTAAATGTGTTTACTCTCACAAGGTGGACTTGAAGACAAAAGAGGTGATATTCTCCTTGTGTTGCTTGCCCACTCATTTGCAAAAGGGAAAGTATAAAAAGCGGCATCCTAAATAATGTGGAGTTTTTATTTTTTGCTTATCAAGAGAGGAAAGGTGAAACTGAATATTAACCTATAGGTAAACTATACTAAGCATTGATAATGAAGTGGGGAATGTTTCAAACGTCTCTTCATTTACTCTTTCCTTGCAGCATCTCTGATTTCCACAGTAAGCAGTTCTCCTTCTCCAGCCTTGGCTGAAGGTGACATCTTTATAATGTAGGACTTGTTTCTGGTGTCCGCTTGTACATCTGTCTTTGTACCATCTGTGTTATCTGCCTTTGCCTTATCTTGCTGGATATCCTTTGCTTGCTTGGATGTGTTCTTTTCCTCTTTCTTCTTGTCCTGCTCTCCTTGATCTACAGGCTTTTCACTTGCATTGGTATTCATTTCCGAACTGTTCAATCCTTGGTTTTTCTGTACAGAACCAGAGAAAATACATTTATTTGTATTTAAATGGGTAACAAATAATGCGTGTTGTCACTGCTATAGATCTATGTGTTATACCACAGTCACACATCACAAGAAATGGGTCATATTTACTAGCTGTAAGCAGCAGTCTGGGCACAGTCAATCAGGGCACAGGTGGTAATTGTTCCAGTCAATGCTGGAGTAATAAGCCAGTGAAACACACACCTTCTATTTCTGTTACATCAAAGTCACAATCTGGTTTCCAGCTCAAATAAATCAGAGCCATTATACTGAAATCTGTCATAAAATAGAACTGCAGGAAGGCAAAGACTCATATCGGAAACATTTCTGCACAGAGAAATCTGAGTACAGAATTTGCAGTAACCAAAAACACAGGCAGGTAAATTGTATTTCCATCATGAACATTTCATTTGAACAAAATGTACATTTCAGAGGTTGATTCTTCGCTACTGGAGTGACCTAGGCTGGAAAAAAAAAACGACACAGAAAAACTTTGCCAGCAAACTTTGCAACAACTTTTTAGGTAAATTATTTCTCCAAAGCAGGTATAATTTCAATACAAATTAGCTAAATAGATGTGAGATTGTAGTGGTGGACTACAATCTCACGATTAGTTTGCTAATTTGTATTGAAATTATAGTCCATCATGGGAGCGTGCTTGGAGAGGTGGCTACTTTACAACACACAGGGACCATGGGGAACAAAAGTAGCCACCCTCCAGAAGGAAGAACAGTGTCAGCACCAGTTCAGAGATGATTTGAGGATCTACAGGCAAGTGATACACAAATAAGATACATTATTGTTAATAGTTAAGGTACTTGAATGCATTTTTAAGATTTAACTCCTGAATTTAGTGTCAAATGTGGTACAACCTACTGTGGTTGAGAGGAAACAAACAAAGGTTTTGAAATTTTGTCAAGATTGACATTTTTTTTGAGGTAGGTACTATTTAGAAAAAAATAAATACAGTTTCATCTACCCCTATTCCCCTTGGTTTTATAGTAAATATGCACATATGCCTGTTTTATGTTTTGGTTAGTATGTTTGCCTGTTGCATGTTTAGCTAACATGTCTCTTTACAAAACAAAAGCCCTTAAAGAACAACACTAGTCTGGATGATCCTCCCATGTTTGGACCATCACCCCAGTACTGATAAATGAATGCATAAAAGTTTTTTTTTTTTTAGAAATCCTTATACAAAATCCTCTTTCTTATCTTCCACCAGCATTGGTTTTAAATGCGGCTAAAAGGGCCACCATGCAATGACATCCAGAATTCTCCTGTGAGTCCAGGGTGACATGATGACCTACCTCCAGGGGGTGGGTCCTTGATGCCCCAGATTCACAGTAGGTGAGTAGAATGACGCTGGGTGTCATTCAGCTCGGAAGAGAACTGGCACTAGATCTAAGAATAGTGAGTCTGCAGGGAACAGTGCAGATATTGGTACTTCCGGTAGCATAGAGCCGGCTTCCCGGGCAATCATGGAGCCAGGTGGTGTGTCATTACCCACCCCCGGGCTTCTTGATTGCCCTGGAAGCCGACTCCTGCTGTTTGGCCGCCTCGATGCTGATTGGCCGGGAATCCGGCTTCCCAACCAATTAGCATCGAGCTGGCCAAACAGATCTGATATGGTGACACAACCTCCACCCTGCAGACACCCCATTCTCCACACACGCATATTCATTCTCAGCAGAAGTCATTACTGTACCACAGATGTCCCCCGGCCAGGTGGGCAGACACTACTCTCCAAGCTGTCCCGAATCTGCCCACGTCTCCTGTGTGTACAGCGTATGCATCGCCTGCGTGATCAGCCCTTAGCCTGCTACTGCGCATGCGCAGACTGCCCAGCGCTCTCATTCAGGAATCCTCTAACAGCGTCAAGCAGGTGGTGCTGGCGCTGCAACACAACGGAGTCAGGCAGCAGTATAGCGGCTTGGAGGTGCAGTCTGGCTGAGGGACATCTGCGGTACGGTGATGATTGCTGCTGAGGATCGCTGTGAGGGGAATGAAGTAACTGCAGAGTGGAGGTTGTGTCACAATATTATCAGATCTGTTTGGCCGCCTCGATGCTGATTGACTGGGAAGCCGGCTTTCCGGCTCCTTGTTCCCTCGCTGCACTGCTGGTCAGAGGAAATCTTCCTCTGACCGGAAGTTCCAATATCGGGAAAGGTATTGGAGCATTTGGGCGAGTACTCACCCAAATATTTGGTATCGACACTGATACTAGTATTGGTATTGGTGCATCCCTGCTTAACCAATAATAAAAATTTATCTTATTTGTGTATCACTCAGCCGTAGGACCTCAAATAATCTTTTGGAGGGTGGCTACTTTTGTCCCCCATGGTCCTGTGTGTGTTGTAAAGTCACCACCACTCCAAGCCTGTTCCTGTGATGGATTACAATCTCAAGTTTAGTTTACTAATTTGTATGGAGATTGTAGTCCATTCCGGGAGCGTGCTTGGAGAGGTGGCTACTTTACAACACACACAGGGACCATGGAGAACAAAAGTAGCCACCCCCCAGAAGGAAGGACAGTGTCAGCACCAATTTAGAGATGATTTGAGGATTTACAGCCGAGTGATACTCAAATACACTACATTGTTGTTAATAGTTAAGGTACTCCAATCCATTTTTAAGATTTAACTCCTGAGTTTAATGTCACTTTAATGTATATGATTGCATGAGTCCATTTTTAACTCTCTTTTGCCAACTGCTGTCGCATTATATCTTACATATCCATTATGGATAGGAGAAATTTGTGTTTGTTTTATATTAATATTCTGGCAGACGGAGTTCTTTGAACCGTCTGTCTTATGGAAGAGTCTGCCTTGGGAAAGTTCTAGATGGCTTGCCAGCTGAAGTCTGTGAGGTGATATTAGGCATGCTGTGTGTGTTCAGCCCCCGGCTAAGGATAAGATCTCCAGGAAACTGGCAGCGTTAGCATTAAAAATGTGAAACCAGTGTCTGGCCCAGAGGAGTCCAGGAGAAAACAAAATGACAAAGCATTTTCTTTCCCACAAGTGTACTTTTCGGAAGGTTCCAGGCATTTTTGTGTTAAACTGAAGGCAGTGACACATCTGATGGAATACACACACATTACTTATACTGTCAGGATCCTTACAGTCCTCCGGAAGCCCTTCAAGAAACAGTAATGATGTGAATAAACCGTAATTGCAAAGTCCTTTGGAAAAGCAACTAATCAAGCATGGGTGGGCTGTCCCCTGGACCGCAGTGGCTTTTACAATTTAGGGCTGACACTAAGGAAAAGAGTGTCATCAGACATCAAGTATTATCAAGCACATTAACTGATATCACTCACCCACATTGAAAAAGTCAAAAGATGCTATTATAGCTCTGTTTAGTACATGCACATGTGAGGTCCTCAGCTGCACAGTGTGATTCCGGATACCTCATTTGTCACTGCATCTTTAAAGCGACTGAGTTTAAAGTGACTGAGTTGCTATGTTTCAAATTTAAAACAAAGTTGTCCCTGAGAAGAAAGCAATTAATACTTAATGTCCCGCCACCCACCCTGAGGAACTCTTCTCGGTTGAAGCACAAAACATGCTCAAAGGTATTCTGCATTTAACACTTTTGCAACTGCTGCAGCTTTTATACATAAATCACTGGTATGTGTAAATGTAGTAAAAAAAAAAAAGTTTAAGTGGATCCGCAAATTTAACTGTCTCCTAAAAACAGTTACTTTTTCATGCATGGCAACTGTTAAGGCTGCCAATGTGCTTATTTCAGCTTTCAGCAAAACTTTCAAGCCCTCAAATGACTGGTAATATAGTTAAGCACCATGGCAACTGCAATGCAAATTGAGGCCAAGATGGCACCTTCCTTGGCTATACAGCAAGGGTCTCAAACTCAATGCACTTGGGGGCCACTAGATGAATTTTCTTCTCACATGGGGGCCACTTGCCAAATGTAATAAAATATCATACTTCAAAATAAAATGTAACTATATACGTTACCAGTGTTAATGTCTGCATCAATTTATACTGTTAGTATATGTGTTTGTGATGGTTTGTGTGTGTATTGTTAGGATCTTTGTGAGTGATGTTGGTAAGTATGTTAATGTTTTTGTGTGTATCATATCAGTATGTATACATGTGTATAAGTGTGCAGTGTCAGTATATGTGTGTGTGTGTTTTTTCCCCCCCACAGGTTTTACATTTTAATCATAGATGACCAACAGATTCACACATTCATTCACACATAGAAATATGCACACATGCACAGAGGAATCTGATAGAGATGCAGACCGTGTAGCTGTTCCCACAAGTCAGGTACGCAATCTGTGACTGCATGCCTGACTTGTCAGTCGGCTGTGGGCCACATGGTACTGGTCCATGCGCTGGAATTGGCCCGCGGGTCGGTAGTTTAAGACCCCTGCTGTAAAGGATAGTAGGGGGTAGTTCCGCTTTAACTTTCTCTCCTTTTTCCCTTATCAATTTTTTTGCTTTTGGTATGGCATTGGATTTAAAAAATGTTTTGTACCAGAAACATGATTCTAATGCCTTTATAAAAGGCACAACTCAGAATGGAATTTGTAGTTAAAATGTTAGTTGACCCTGATTAATTTAGATTAACTAATTCTTCCTTTCCCTTATATGTATACTTGTACTGTTTTTTTCTTACTGTTTGTAAGTGAACCTTTCAAAGTTGTGTTTATTTGTGTAGCACCAAATTACAAAGCTTTGGGGGGTACACTTTGCAATCCTTGGTTAATTGCCAGAGGACCTTGACCCGACATTAAAGTGACACGAAACTCAAGAGTTAAATCTTAAAAATGCATTCATGTACCTTAACTATTCATAAAAATTAATCTTATTTGTGCATCACTCGGCTGTAGATTCTCAAATCATCTCTGAGTTTAGTGTCACTTTAATTTGCAGGCTAGGGTAGATCCCAGGTCAGGCTGTATAGCTGAGCGGCAGAGAAGTGTCAGGGAGTGCAGGACCTTGTTGGGTTGTCATGCAGGGATGTCTGGATCACTAGACTGCCTGGGCATAAGTAGAAACCTTCTAGTAGGTAAGACTTTAATGTAATTCAACTGCTTGCCTGGAGTTTAGTTTTAAACTGCTGTGATGCATTGAGTTATATTTTATTCTGTCAAAATAGGGTCGATGCAATCTCTAGCTCTGATCTGATAGGTTTGCCTTTCTCCATACAGGACTGTTTACCCACTTTACAACCAGTCTCAAATTGTAATTCTGCTGCTTACACGATGTGTCCTAACTCCTGCTGTATTTGTGAATGGCTATCCATCATCTTGGCTGAATGATGCATCTATCGACCTTTCTGTAGAAATGTATCACTAACAGCAGAATTATAATTTCCTTTTCATATGACGCCTGTTTCCATGACCTTCCCCACAAGCCTGGCGACCTTGGGAGCTTACACTTTACAAAGCGCTAGTTACTGTGTCTCATGGTGCTTGCATTTAAAAGGTGAGAAACAGAAATGTGAGCGCAGCTTATGGTATAGCTGTGGGTGGTCAAACACAAGCTGTGTCTGGTTTGTACTTTACAATGCTATTGAAAATCCTGCTACTGTTATAAGATAACAATGCATATAATACTTCAGCACAAAGTACATCCATCATTCACGAACGACTTTGCAGTTGATATGTAAAAGAAAAAAAAGAGTCCTGCGTGGCCTTGTACATACCAAGTGCAGAGTCAGTCACTAGCATAGAAACAGGGATTGCAGCAGTCCAACTTTTGAACAGACCCGTGCCGAAGCAGGTTGCCAGAACCACCCTGCTCCTCACTTTGCCTTCCAAAGGATACAACTTACAGTTAAACATAGATGAGAGGTACTCTACCTGAAGATGATTCATAATAGAACTATATAGGGAAGTACAGGGCTGCTAGATAGTTGACTTTTTTTTAGCTTACATTTATTTCTCTTTTTTTTTCCAGTCAAGTCTGCCCCCTGTCTCCATTCAGGATGACAAGTCCTGCTCCTTCAGCTTCAACTTCTACTGGCATTGGAGGAGAATGGACCCAGTGCTGGAGAAGGGCAAAGCTGGCTTGCATCATCAGAGGGCCAGCTGCCTGAAGAGACAGTCAGCTCCCTGTGACATTTTAGAAGAACATGGTGGCGTGGGACCCAGCTTGTGGCAGCAGCTCACAACAAAGCAATGCTGGATTCACTGCCTGGTATGTAAGTTTAGGTTAAAAAGTAAGAACATGCTTACACACAATTTACACTCTGTTAATACTGGGGACACTCTTTAATATTGAGAGCAGATAATCCAGCTATATGTGTGTGGACTGGTAAATTAAAAGCTCATTCCCCCCAAAAAAACATACTTTAGTTAAAGGTACAGCCTGATGGGCTGAGTCAATCCTTGGCTTCTTATATGTTTTGTTTACTTTAACAGTGAGACATATCTACTATAATTCATGGCCTTCTGTTGCATTCTCCATGCATACATTTAACAGGGAGAGTGGAAACCCCTTTTAATAGCCACAGCAGATGGGCAAACCCAGGAGCCTAAACCCAGTTATCTAGATTGATTTTATTTATCTGACAGACAGACACCCATTATATGATCATGTTTTGTTTCTTATAACTAATAGAAATGGCATCTTTAACTTTTTAGACAGGATATTTCCAAATTTTTAGCATGGCAGAACTTTGAGAACATATATTGATTAGTTTAAAACCAGACAGCCCTATGCACTTGGTCTTGTTTTTTGGGATAGCAGATGCTTAAAAGCAGGGGGCAGCTCTGCAATGAAATATCCTCAGAATACATATCTCACATTTCAATTCATACGCTCTGTATAGTTGTGAGATTTACCCCTGGACAGCAAGGGGTGTGTGTGAAACATAGGGGAGCAGCAGGCAGTGACAGTTGGGGGACATATAAAAAGAGGGGCCCTGTCATGACTTTGCACTTGGGCCCTGATATTTTTGCTCTGACCTCCTTCTAAGGGTGCCATCACTTCTGGGAAAATATACCCACCTTATCATCTTTTTGCTATAACAAACAATGAGAACAAGTCCATATTTCTGTTGTCCAAGCTGGTGAACTATCTTTCAAATGGCAACCCTTCTTACTGGAAAAAAAATTGTGGGGCACACATTCAGAGCAAGTTTTATGAGCTAACCACTCAAAACTTGTAAATACAACTCTAAGCTTTGTGAAGATCTCACTTGAACTAGTAATTCTGTTTCTTGGTAAGAGCAGTCAAATTAATTGATACTGTCCACTCATTGTATTATTTTGTAGAAGTGGATGTCTGTCCTCCCTTGCAAAAATGTGAGCTTCACTAGACTTTTTGCAGTACAAGACATTTGCAGTGTCTTAATTTTCATTTAATATGGATGTCTGAGTATGGACAGAGGTGATCAGGATCGGATACTGGTTTCTGCAGTTTGGTGCTTTCATCCCTAGAAGAGAATCCCTGTTATGCTGCACTTTGTTTATTAAGTAATCACTTGAATGACTCTGTTACATACAAGTAGAGAGGACCTCACCATTCCCTCTCGTTGATTCCTCACTTTCTGTAGAAGGCGTAATCCGGGTTTATTAGCTGCAGCTGACAATAAGGTTTTAAACAGTTTTGGTGTTTCTTGTTTTGGAGGGATGAGGTGAGCAAAGCCTCTGTTTACAACTGCCGGATGTGTTGGTTTCCCCTTTTCCTTCAGCAGTTTCCTGCAAATAAAGATAACAGAAAGTTAGGATAAGGTAAACAAGTAATTCAATTATCTATATACTGAGCATGCATACATAATCTACAAAGTATAATGCACTGCTTTGAGAAGAATTAATATGTAAGTTTATTATAGGATAATAATACTGAGGGCTCAATAGTTTTGATTACAGTAAGCACAGTGGAAAATAAGGCCTATACCTATATAGCTATATAGCTTTCCCTAAAAAAAAAACCACGCTGAAAGGCTTCGTTTTCTACCCAAAACTGGCCCAGGAATGTGTATGTATGTAAATATGTATGTGCTTATGACTGCACTATGGAATTTAGAGTGTAAGCTTCTGTGGTGCAGAGACTGATGGCAATGCTCTGCTCTGTAAACCCACTGCATCATCATTTGAAAACTTTGTTTGGACCTATGCTCAAATATATAGTATATGTTAACCCTAACAATTAACTTCTTTTATTTGGATAATTTTGATATGTTAAATATGCCATTGAAAGTGTTTTGTTATATCGGTTTTAAAATTGCAAATAAGACATGCTGAACTTGACAAAAATTCAGAGCTGTTCTGTGTACACTTCCTGTGTTATCTCAAAGAGTCTATTTAGCCCTCCTGGTTCTTCAATCAGTGCCTATGATAAAGACAGTGGAATGTGTTGAGCAGTTTAGCAAAAGAAGACTGGACAAGCCTGACACCATTCTGTGTACAATATTGCTGTTTGTTGACAGCCCACAATAGTATTACTTCAAACTTTGAGCAGAGGATTTGACACCGCTTGGTGCCTGAACAGCGCTAATTGCCAAACACCAGCACTATCATGTGTGAGGAAGGGGAACGAGTCACATATTCCCCCACACCTGGAAGCTCTGGGCATTTTTCTGCCAGCGGGGCTTGAATTTAAGTAAATTGTTGTTTTGCGCTGCATTGACAAAGCAAAGCTGCATTAACGGTTTTGATGGAATTAATGAACAAAGGGTAAGGGAACAACCTCAGAACTATTAGAATCTGGCCATAACATTTTAATATTTATTATTATCCATTCTGTAATAACCCTGATATCGGGAATATTCTACACAAGTCTCTAGGGGACTCTAATTATTTCTTCAGTAGGAATAAACAGTAAAATCTTTTAATTCAAATAAATTAAACTTCTAAAAAGACAGCCGGGACTCCCTTGAGATACTGTAGGTGGATAAACCGGAAAAGTTGGAGTGCAGAGAGAAAGATATAGCAACAGATAAGTAATTCAATCCATATTAATGGACTCACACTTTGTACTTGTAGTCTATTACAGGAGTAACCATGGGGACAAAAGTAGTCACCCTTCCAGAAGGAAGGACAGTGTCAGCACCAATTAAGGATCTACAGCCGAGTGATACACAAATAATATATATTTTTGTTAATAGTTAAGGTAGTTCAATGCATTTTTCAGATTTAACTCCCGAGTTTAGTGTCACTTTATTTTTCTGCATGAATGTTAATGTATGTGGATGCCAGAGGTACAATAGGTTTAAATCTTTTGGGCCTTAAAAGCCTAGGCATGAAATCTTAAGACTCATGCTTCAAATGCATATTCTAATGCTACGCAGGTCTTTGAAACTTTTACACTGTGTTTCTGCATTCTTTGTACATAGGATTCCAAATGCCATTGAACTGGCATTCAAGGTGCAGTGAGATTGAAGGTGAGATTACAAGTATTGATCTGAGCTTACTAAAGGAGATGGCCTGTGAGAGACTCAATCCATTCCCTTCCAACAAAAGGGAGCAATTTATGGGCGATCATTGGTACATGTCAAAATAAAAGACCTGTACTTCCTATGATACAAATATACTAGAAACAACAGTAGCATTAGTTCACAAAGAGGAATACATTATTTTACTTGCATTCATTATTTTATCTCATTATATATTTCACAGTTATATCACAAAAATAAATTCCTTCTTTTTCATAAACATTTTATTACTGAAAGTGTATATTTCTCATTAATTTGTATTTTAAAAGTTGTTATCCGATTTCCAACATTAAAGCCTAACTCCAGGCAACTCTTTTTTTAAAGAAAGGTGCCCAAGACCTTGCTTAAAATAGGAACGCAACTCTAGTTGCACTACTCTCCTTATCACTGCTGCGGTTTCCCATAGTACTTCTTCTCTACCACAAGATGTTCTCAGTCTTCCAAGGAGCGTCATTCAGTTAGACTGAGAACATACTGTGAGTGCAGAGTGTCATGGACCTGCCCCCTGAGGGGGGTGATAATACGGTGCCATGTGTTAACAATGTAATAATGATGTAAACAGGAAGATGTCACCTGTCTGGAGACTTCAGAACAGGGTAAGTATATAAAAAAAAGTGTAGATACTTTCAGGGGTAGGAAGAAGGAGCAGGGAAGGGGGTGTGTGTGTGTGTGTGTG